CTTCTCATCTTATTGGTAACACATCCTTAATTTCAAAAACCTCCAAAGAAAGCATCTCTTAAAATCCATTATGATTTTTTATCAATAATGTCAAATCGATCATATCGATGACGTTAGACAATTTTTCCAATCTTTATCTATCATGGTGAATTCTCTTTAAGGTTCAAGCACATGTTCATAACATGTTTGATCACATAATTTTTCCTAAGATGAATAAGCTCGTCAAACAATGACCACTACCAAGATCAACAACACAACTTCTTATTGATGACTCCCCTGTCACTAATACACATTTCGTGTTCAAAATGATTTTCAGGCTCATGAGGCATATTCTGGTTTTGTGAAGAGCATTCAACAACATGATTCGTTGCCAAGTTTTAAAACAACAAAGTTGAGATTCGAACTTGAAGAATCAACCATCCTTCAATGTGCTTCTCACTATTCTGGTTCTCTCTCATCTTCAACAATACTCATCACAAAATACATGAACCGGAAGACTTTCAAAAAGTCTTCCGGTAAACAAACGAAAAAAATATGAATCGGAAGACTTGCAAAAAGTCTTTTGGTGAACAAACGAAAAAAAATGTGAACCGGAAGACTTCCAAAAAGTCTTCCAGTGAACAAAAGAAAAAATATGAACCGGAAGACTTGCAAAAAGTCTTCCGGTGAACAAATGAAAAAAATTATAAATTTTTATACGAGGGTATTTTGGTCCAAATTTTTTTATGTAGGGGTATGTGTATAATTGTAGGGGTATGGGGTAAAATTTCCATATTTGTATAGTATCAGTAAGAGTTTCGATCCAAAACATTTCCTAACCAACGCACCACCTATTCCCCTTCTCATCTTATTGGTAACACATCCTTAATTTCCAAAACCTCCAAAGAAAGCATCTCCTAAAATCCATTATGTTTTTTTATCAATAATGTCAAATCGATCATATCGATGACGTTAGACAATTTTTCCAATCTCTATCTATCATGGTGAATTCTCTTTAAGGTTCAAGCGCATGTTCATAACATGTTTGATCACATAATTTTTCCTAAGATGAATAAGCTCGTCAAACAATGACCACTACCAAGATCAACAACACAACTTCTTATTGATGACTCCCCTGTCACTAATACACATTTCGTGTTCAAAATGATTTTCAGGCTCATGAGGCATATTCTGGTTTTGTGAAGAGCATTCAACAACATGATTCGTTGCCAAGTTTTAAAACAACAAAGTTGAGATTCAAACTTGAAGAATCAACCATCCTTCAATGTGCTTCTCACTATTCTGGTTCTCTCTCATCTTCAACAATACTCATCACAAAATGTCAAAACTATGATATTAATTTGATCACCTAAGCTACTTTTTCAAGAAATATCAATCAACAATCGAGCCACCACAAAAACCAACGGTTTACTAGAATTTTTAGCAAACAATCACGAATTGTAATTTACTAAACAGATTAAACTCGAAAAAAATATTAAAGATAATTTGTGCAGAAAAGTGCAACAAAAAGTGTTAGTGATTTGCCCCTAATGTTTGAATGTTAACAAACTGAACATAAACTTTTAAATGAAGCAATGTAAAATTGTTTTGAAAAAAGAAAATAGACAATAAAACATAATAAATGTCATAAAAATAAATGTTTCAATTGAAAAGACTTCAAAAATTTGAAGAAAATACGCAAACATATATTTTCTCACAAATTGTTTCTATCTAACTTGGATACTTTAATTCTATAAAAAATAAATGAAATCTGCGACATTTGATCACAACAAGAAATTAACTCATATACTAATACAATGTTAACCGTTGACAATGGTTATCTCCACAAAACTTAACACATATCCCCTTACGTGGGATTCAACCTACTACTTTGCTTCCACATATTTTAATGTTGAAACTGCTGCAAACCACCCACCATGTTGATAACTGTCTTTGAACCCTCTAACTACCTCTGTCAAAAGTCAGCGGTTAACTCCCGTTGTGGCGTCAAGATACTTTTAAATCATCTAGTTTATAGACTTAAGAATATCTTAAGTCCTCAACAATTATGTGAATGCGTCGAATTATACACTTGTACACCATATCTCCATGTCAAAGTGTTGATTAGTGCAAACCTTTTTAAGATTTTAGATATGTTTGGAGAAAGAGTGATATTAATCTTGTGGATTTGTTCCTGAGACTCTTCCAAATCAGGTTTCGTGTGCGTTAGAATATAATATTGTTCCATATCATCTGACAAGGTGGTCGAACCATCTTTAGTCAAGATGGTTAATATGCAGAAGTTGTGTTTGAGACTCTTGATGCTTAGCATTTTCAAACGTGATCCTTAACATTCTTTGTTAACTTTTTCAACTAAAATTTGCAAGCTAACAGATGTCTCACCCTCCCAAAAAAAGAGTCCATTTTCGATCATGTACAAAGATGGAAGAAAGATGACATTTTTAGTAACTGCTCGACACTATTCAAGATAGCTTGCACACGTCATCGTGACCACTTTTTACCAAACCGTCACGTCAAAGACATGCGTGTAGATTATCATCATCACTTCGACTTTCTAGGAGATCATGAGCCATAAAATTAAATAATATTAAAAGAAATAATTTAATTTATTTTTTTACCAAAAAATCAAATGTCAACGGTTGAATTCATGACGCCACTTGTCCAACTTTTAAGATGGAAACTGAAAACTTTTTTTCATGTGACTATATTTAGTTTCTACATCATTTAAAATTCAATTGAGGCAATAAATGGCCTTTTTGACGTCATTATTATCCTCTTGCGGTAACATACTGTCTTTGTCAAATCAAATGCAAAAATATACATTGTTGCAATTCTTATTGAGTCGAGCCGAGATGAAACAAGTTCGACTCGACTCGATTCATTTCCAACTCTAAAATTATCTAATCAAAAGTATTTGTATGAGATTGTAAGAAATTTCTTTCAACTTAACTACTTAACTAGATATTAAGAATTCAAATTCAATAATGAGCATACATGAATGTTAAATTTTCTTTAAAAAAATATCTATTGTAGTTCTATCAAACTCGAGAAATTAGTCTCTGGAATTTCACGAAATAAATACTTTATTAAAAAGAACAAAAGATTTATGCTAACTAGTAAGAAACTCGTGTTTACGCATGAGGTACGTTTTTGGGTGGGATATGATTTTAGACACGCATTTGTTTGTAAATTGTAATAAAAATTGTAAGTTGAAAAAAAAACTTCAGAATGATATTAAATTTAAGTTGAAATAGTAATAAATGTAGAAGATGGCCGTTAAACAACAATATCAAGAATAATATCAAGAATAATAGGATTAAAAATAAAAACTACTGGAACTTGTATTAGATAAATTATCGTTTTAGTTTTTTTACAAAGAAGACATTATTTTAAAAGAGAAAGATATTTTTAAAAATTTACTTAATCTTTTTTTATAAGTTCCCTTAACCTTTTTCGCATATTAAAAAATAGAATCGATAAATTTGTACTATTCAATATTTGGATCAGTAATAAAGTTGTTCCCGTTTATAAGAATAATATTTTTTTTCTTTAATATAAATATATTTGAATCAATAGTAAAATTGTTCTCGTTTATAAAAATATTTAAATCAAAATATTTTTTGTTTTGACATTATTTATAAATATATTTGAATCAATAGTAAAGTTATTCCCATTTATAAAAATATTTAAATCAAAATTTTATTTTTGTTTTGACTGCTTTTTAAAATATATTTGAATCAATAGTAAAGTTGTTCTCGTTTATAACAATAAAAATTTCTCCCATATAAAAACATTTTAATCAACAATGTATTTTTTTCTATATATATAAATATTAATTTTGTTTCGACACTATTTTATAAAAAAATTTGAATTAATAGTAAAATTGTTCTCGTATATAAAAATATTTGAATCAGTTGTAAAATTGTTTCTGTTTATAACAATAATATTACTTTTTGCGTATATAAAAATATTGAATCAATTATTGATAAACTTCTATTATTCAATATTTGAATCAGTAGTAAAGTTGATCTCGTTTATAACAATAATATTTGTTTTTGTATATAAAAATACTTTAATCAACAATATATTTTTTTCCTGTATATAAATATTATTTTTGTTTTAACATTATTTATAAATATATTTGAATCAATATTAAAATTGTTCCCGTTTATAAAAACATTTAAATCAAAATATTTTTTTTTGATATTATTTATAAATATATTTGAATCAATAGTGTAGTTGTTCTCGTTTATAAAATTATCTAACTTGTAAAAATATTTGAATCAATAATAAAGTTATTCTTGTTTATATCAATAAAATTTTCTCCACTATATAAAAATATTTTAATCAATAATATATTTTTTTGTGTATATAAATATTAATTTTGTTTTAACACTATTTTATATAAAAAAATTAAATCAATAGTAAAATTGTTCCAGTATATAAACATATTTGAATTAGTAGTAAAGTTATTCTCGTTTATAACAATTATATTTTTTTGTGTATATAAAAATATTTCAATCAACAATATATTTTTTTCCGTGTATAAATACTATTTTTGTTTTGACATTATTTATAAAATAATTTGAATCAATAGTAAAGTTGTTCCCGTATAAATTAGTAATTTAAAAGAAAAATTTAGATTTATTTTTAATAATTTTTTCCCATTACAAAATGAATTTATAGATCTTTTATCATAAATATGAATAGCAATAAAATAAACTTATTAAATATTGTTTTTTAAAAAATTGAAAAAAAATAATAAATTGTTTGATTTAAATATTAAAAGAATTAAAGATATATAATTATTAAGAAATTCAAATAATTTATGGTAAACAAAACTACAAAAGAAATTCAAATACAACATGTTTGAAAATAATGTGGCACTATTTATATCATGGTGTTAATGTTGTATATCTAATATCTTGACACTGTCTATTAGCAAGCATAGCTAATAGATAAGGCTAAGGAAGGTGCCACAAAGAACTGAGGTTAAGATAATGGCTTACCGTCTTTGCTCCTCTTCTCCTTCCTCTCTCTTCCACGACCCACCCTCCTTCCCTTCCTCTTCCCGCAAATCCAAACTTCGAAACTTCTCATCTTCTCTCACTCCTCTGTCCAAAACCATTCTCCAATCCAACCATGTCTCACTACAAGAACCCATTCCGCAACAACAATCCGAAGAAGACGCAAAATTTGATAACCCAGTTGCTAAGTCTACTTCCTCGAAAAGCACTAACATATGGGTCAATCCCAAAAGCCCCAGAGCCAAACAATTCGGGAAGAAATCTTATGATGCAAGGTATAATTCTCTTCTCAAGCTTTCCAAGTCTTTGGATTCATGTAATCCCACTGAAGATGATGTTTCTAGAATTTTAGAGAGTTTAGGAGATAATATTCTAGAACAAGACGCAGTCATGATCATCAATAACATGGATAATTCTGTTGTTGTACCTTTTGTTCTTCGGTATATTCAGAGCAAGATTAGAGCTAATAGAGAGGCAATTCTTTATAATGTTACACTTAAGGTGCTTAGAAAGTGTAAGGATTTGGATGGTGCAGAGAAGGTGTTTGATGAAATGGTTAAACGAGGGGTGAAGCCTAATAATATTACTTTTTCCACTATAATTAGCTGTGCTAGGTCTTGTTATTTGCCCAATAAGGCTGTGGAGTGGTTTGAGAAGATGCCGTCGTTTGGATGTCAACCTGATGATGTTACGTACTCGGTTATGGTTGATGCTTATGGAAAAGCTGGTGATCTTAATATGGCTTTGAGCTTGTATGATCGTGCCAGAACGGAGAACTGGCGCCTTGATAATGCGACGTTCTCTACGGTGATTAAGATGTATGGTGTGGCGGGAAATTATGATGGATGTTTGAATGTCTATGAAGAAATGAAGGCTCTTGGGGTTAAGCCTAACTTGGTTGTTTATAACACTCTTTTGGATGCCATGGGAAGAGCTAAGAGGCCATGGCAGGCCAAGGCTATATATAAAGAGTTGATAAATAATGGACTTTTTCCAAATCGAGGAACCTATAGATCTCTCATACATGCCTATGGTAGAGCGCGCTATTCTGAAGATGCTCTCCTTGTGTATAAGGAAATGAAGGAAAAGGGAATGCATTTGGATACGCATCTTTATAATACCCTTTTAGCTATGTGCGCTGATGTTGGTTACACTGACCAAGCGTTTGAAATTTTTGAAGACATGAAAAGTTGTGATATCTGCAGTCCGGACAGTTGGACGTTCTCGTCCTTGATTACCGTCTATTCCTGCCTTGGGAAAGTTGAAGAGGCTGAAAGAATGATGATTGAAATGGTTGAATCTGGGTTTGAGCCTACTATTTTTGTTCTGACTTCGCTCGTCCAATGCTACGGAAAAGCCAAGCGTAACGATGATGTTGTGAAGACATTTAATGATCTATTGAATATGGGCATTGAACCGGATGATCAATTCTGCGGTTGTCTTCTGAATGTTATAACCCAAACCCCAAAAGAAGAACTTGGCAAGCTAACAGATTGTGTGGCGAAGGCTAACCCAAAACTTGGGTCTGTGGTGAGATATTTGGTGGAAGGGCTGGAGGGTGATGGAGAGTTCAGAATATATGCGTCAGAACTCTTAGGTTCAATTACTGATAAAGTAAGGAGGGCATTTTGCAATTCTTTGATTGATCTTTGTATCAACTTGGATTTGCTTGACAAAGCATGCGTGCTTCTTGACCTTGGTTTGACACTTGAGATATATCCAGATATACAATCCAAATCTCAAACTCAGTGGTCTTTGCACTTAAAGGGTCTCTCAGTTGGAGCCGCGCTGACAGCATTTCATGTTTGGATAAATGACTTGTCTAAGTCTTTTGAATCAGGAGAGGACCTTCCACCACTGCTCGGGATCAATACTGGTCATGGGAAACACAGGTATTCCGAGAAAGGTTTGGCAGATGTTATTGAGTCGCATATAAAGGAACTCAATGCTCCATTTTGGGAGTCTCCCGATAAGGCTGGCTGGTTTTTGACTACACAGGTAGCAGTCAGTTCATGGATAAAGTCTAGGGATTCGTCTAAACTAGTTTCTGCTTAATTTATGAACTACGCAGTTATCAGAAACTCTAGCAATGACTTTTATATTCACAATGTAGTTTTAATTCATTTTCCTCATCTTAAGAGGAAGTTTTTTGTATTAGCTACATAAGTAACTCTTGTTTTATTTTGGGTTCCTTATAGAGTAAATGAAGATCTAGAACAATTATGTAATCTGGTAATTGTTTAAAGAGGTTACTGCTCCAGTTTTTTAGGACATTAAAAAAGTGAGAAGACCCGATTGACCAACGGCATTGCTGAATATTATTTCTCAACCATTTAAATTGCAGAAAAATAAGACCTCAATGTCATTTTGACATGATAATGATATGATGCAACAGCAATTTATGAGACACTGGCAGAACATTTTACTAACTTCATCACTGTCTTCACTTTGAGAAAATAATTTACTCTAAACTCCATTCAAGGGATAAACTCAAACTTGCAAGAGCCATGGCCTACAATTGAACAAAGAGAAAATATATCATTTGAAATGATAATGTTTCAAAACCATAGAAACAGAAAGAATTAAAAATAAAGAGATAGTATTATTACTTGGATCAAGAGCATTAATCAATGCAGCAGAGTTGAAATAGCAAGATCCTCCTTTGTTCTTGAACTTCTGATAGTAATTATTGAAGACATAAGAAGCATGATCCTTGATTGTATTTGGAAGATAACATGGTTGGTTCACTTTTATCTTGCTGCAATCTGCTCCACCAACATTACAAGCCCAATCCATGGCCCTTTGCAACTCATCATCTGGTGTCTGCTCATCAGCTATGCACCATTCCATGAATTGTCCTGAAATTTCACAATAACTCATCATAATCAAATAATACCTTGCAAAATGAATCATATACTTTTAATACAACTTATTAGAACACAAATTCGGGCAATGCTGATTTTACCTGATGCTTGAAATGATAGTGTTGCAAGAAGCATAGTTATAAAAAATTTGAGCATTGAAGAAGTCATTTTTCTTCAGGAGTTTTTAATATCTAACCTTGAACTATATTCCATATAGTGACATGATATATATAATATTTATTTTTTCCAGAATCTTGAGCATAGTTATAAAAGCTTTGGCCCTACATCAGTTTCTTCACTGTCACAGTAACTAATTTGAAACTTTTTTGGTTTCTAGAATGTCCCAATCACATGATTTTGTTATACTAAACTTTTTTGCTTTTCTTATATTCAGATCTTAGATGTGGAAATTCAAATAAATAATCCAGGAGGTCTGATCTAAGCATACTTTCTTTTGCAATGAGGAATCTAGATGACTGATTTTCCAAGCAAGGTATAAGAGTCTATGTATAAAGCATAAGTTAGGATGCCTAAAGGAAATTGCAAAATAAACAAATCATAAATATTCCTACTATTTGTTTATACCATACCCTTCTTCAATTAAATTTCATGGCTTTTTGTGAAGAGTTTGATAGTCTCATTCATGAAAAACAAGCAAAGAGTGATAGTGAGAAAAACAGCTCTAACAATCCTGAATAATATAAAAAAAAATTAGATGTTAGTAGAAAATTCTCATTTGCCATTCCTTCTAAATCTACCACCTTTTTAAAATGGGGTAATTTTAGTCTAAATATTTCAATTTCCAACCAAATTAGCATTGTTGTTGAGATTGTAATTTCTTGTGTAGGTAGTGCTCGACAAAAATAAGAATGTGTCGAAACTTGTAATGTGTGTTGAGTAGCATTAGATTTCGAAGTGTCGAATCAGATTGCTTGACACAGAATTTCGACTTAGACCAAAATAGATATTTTAGACTTTAGCTTAGGGAGAAAGCTAACTCAATTATAAATAGAAGAAATAACCCCTACTTTGAGTAAGAAGTAGGATATTCTTGAAATCACTTGCAGTTGCAAAATTAACAAGATTTTTCACAGATTGTGGGCAGAAAGAAACTCTACAGAAACTCTCTTCTTCCATATTTGAGTTAAACCCTAATTCTCTTTTCTTCCTAATTTAATTTTTCTTTTTTCTTCCATTAACAATTGTTGCGCAAAATCACTCTTGCAGTCAAGGTATGCTTGATTCACTCAAGTGAAGAGTGAAGAATAAGGGATTTTGATCGGTTGATTGAATCTTGTTCATCAAGATTGGTTCAAAATTACTCAAAGTCTTGGGCTAATTCCAACATCTGATATATAGAGTTCAGGTTGTGATTCGTGGACGCGATGACGATGAATCATCCGAACATGCATTTTCCGGCGAGTCTCTCAATTCTAAAGGGTCAGAATTATGAGAATTGGTGCAAACAGATGAAAGTGGTTTTCTATTATCGAGATCTTTAGGATCTTGTGAAGGAAGGAGTAACACCACTGCAGAAAACGCGTCGGATTAAGAAAAGTCTGCATACAAAGAATTGAAGAAAAAAGACTATAAAACTCTCTTTATAATTCATCAATGCGTTGATTCAGATAATTTTAAAATTGTTAGTAATGTAGAATCAACAAAAGAAGCATGAGAAATCTTGGAGAAATCGTTTGGAGTTGTAGAAAAGGTGAAAGAGGTGATGTTACAAACTCACAAAAGGACATATGAATTGCTTCATATGGAAGAAAGTGAAATTATAACTAATTTTTTCACTAGGGTTACAAAGCTGGTGAATCAAATCAAGGTATGTGGAGAAGTGTTGACATCAAGATTAGTTGTTTCAAAAATATTGAGGTCATTGGCTCCAAAGTTCGACCATGTGGTAGTAAATATAGAAGAGTCGAAAGACTTGTCAACATTGACAAAGAAAGAGTTTCAAGGGACGCTTGAATCTCATGAACAATAAATAACTGAAAGAGCTGCAGGAAAGTAGAAGAGTGATGTGGTTTTGCAGGCGCAGTCAACAAAAGAAAACGAAAGGCAAATGAAGTTGGAATGACAATAAAGATAGATGAGGCTACAATAATTTGACTGTTCAAAATCAGCAAGAATGAAACTGGTCGAATTAGAGAAAACTCTGGAACTAAGGCAACCAAAGAGGTGACACTACAGGTAGAGGAAGAGGTGGTGGTCGAAAACCTGACAAAAGTCATATTTATTGTTACAATTGTTAGAAGTATGATTACTATTTTAGTGATTGTCCTAAAAAGCAGAAGAATCAAAAAAATTGATTTAAAGTTGGCAAAACATGAAGAAGAAGAGATGTTGCTGATGGTCACAACAAGAGATGAAGAAAAATTCCAGGACCAATGGTACTTGGACTCAGAATGCTCATCACACATGACTGGTAGGAATGATTGGTTTGTAAACATAAAGCCCTCAATGAAGAACATAGTGAAATTTGCAAATGGCAATACTCTAGCAGTTAAAGGTATTAGTGATGTTCTGATATGAGTAGAGATGTCAAAAGGTCAGTAATTTCCAATGTGTTGTACATACCAGGCGTGAAGAGCAATTTGCTCAGCATAGGATAGCTGGTCGAAAAGAACTACAAGGCATCGATCGAAGACAAGATGATGAGAGTTATCGACTCAGGAGGAAGGTTAATCTTTAAGGCTCCTATGTCTCAAAATAGAACCTTTAGATTGAAGTTAATGTGGTGGAGCATAAGTGTTTTGCAACTGCAGCCAACATAGATGAATGAATACGACATTATAGACTTGTCCATCTCAATTTAAAAGATATCATAAATTTAAAGAAAAGAAATATGGTTTCAGGATTACCATAAATCGACATCCCAAACAAAGTATGTGAAGAATGTGTGCAAGCGAAGCAACACGAGAACAACTTCAGCAAGGATGTAAGAATCAAGTTGAAGGTAATTTTTGAAGTCATATACTCAGATGTATATGGTCCTATCCAGGTGGATTTGATTAGAGGTAATATATACTTTGTCACTTTCATAGATGATTTCAGTTTAAAATTGTAGACTTACCAGATCAAGAAGAAAAGTGAAGTGATCGAGGTATTTGTCAAATTTAAATCTATGGTTGAAAGACAAAGTGGTCGAAAGCTAAAGATTCTGAGGACTGATGGTGGTGGAGAGTGTGTTTTGAAATATCTTGATGCATCATGTGAGAAAGAAATTATGCATGAGATGGTGTCACCCTACACTCCACAACAGAATGGAACTGCAGAAAGGAAGAATAGAACCATCACGAATATGGTGAAAAGTATGTTAAAAGTAAAGCATCAATCTAAATAATTATGGGGAGAAGTTGTATCGACTGTAACATACATCTTGAATAGATGTCCGACGAAGAAGCTAGAAGGAGTTACACTAGAAGAATGTTGGTCTAGTGTTAAGCCTAACCTAAGTCACTTGAAGGTGTTAGGATCTATAGCACATAGACATGTGTCAGATCAGCTGGGAAGAAAATTTGATGACAAGTCGAGTCAAATGATCTTGATAGGATAGAATTCGACTGTAAGATACAAGTTGTTCGACCTAGTGAACAAGCAAGTTATGATCAGCAGAGACATGATCATATATGAGCTTAAGGAATGGGATTGAATTGAGAATTTTAAGAAGGATTATGTGAGCTAACCCGAGGAAACATATTGTGTAAAACACACAACCATGCGTCGACCGGAACAAGGCATGCGTCGACGCATAACATGAATTTTTTGACAAATGAAAATACTAACAGTATGCGTCGACCGGTAAGTCGACCATACCTAACCCGAGGAAAATGCATTTTTAAGACACATGCCATGAGTCAACCGAAGCAGAGTTTTGGTCGACTCAAGGACCTGAAAATTCAGAAAATGCCTAAATTCATATTTTTTATTCTCTTAGATGATACCTATGATAGACCAATGGAGTTTAACTCATATGACGCATATTTTGACAACTTTATATGCAATACTCGAGAGATTTTATGCACGCAAAAAATCATGAGAAATAAGGTATGCTCATGCAACATGGTGATAACGCCAAACATTTATTCTTCCATGCGGCTAAGTTTTGACATCATCGAAACACGTATATCTAGTATATGATGCTTTTCCCTCACACTTGTGACTTTGAAAATTTTGGAGTTGGTGGCTAAATGAAGAGTATGATGAAGCTCGTGACGTCTCATCCGTAAGAGAACTCACATCTTCCTAAGCATTTGTTCTTTCCTTTTCGTGCTCATGGTATTTATTGGTGAATTGGAAAACAAAGAAGTTGTTTGGCCGTGGCTTGGTTTTCATGACGAAGACACCGTTTCCTTTTTTGCACCAGCATGTTATGCGTAGATTTGGAAACAAAATGAGTTGTATATTTTTCTTGACCTTGTATGGTGAAAGTCATTGATGATGATCAATTCTTGAAAGGGTGATATCTTCTCATGAATGTTTGATTCGGTCTCGCTGCTTTTGATTCTTCCATTTTTTTACTCATGATTAATGGTGGTTTCCATTTTGGATTGGGCTCTGCTTGCTTATGCGTGATTATCATGATGGAAATTCTATTTCGGTTCGAATTCGATTGATTGTGTTGGCTGCGAATTAAAACCTGCAAATGATTATGTTTGCTCATGTCTGCTTCTGGTTTTTTTCTTTTGCAGCGTTTTCTAAAGGGCGTCAACAAGTGATATTATATCGTTGAGCAGAAGAATGAGTTGTTGTTGTCCCAAATTGGTGTATTTCAATATTGTAAGTTGCATTATGCATGGGGAACGACTATGTTTTGGAGCTCGCGGGTTTACGAAGCAGCATGTAGCAATGGGATTGCGGGTCAGAATTGTGTAGGATTTTATGGAAAGATTTGTATCCTGTGAACACTTTTGAATCCTTAAAAATTTGAATTTTAGAACATGTATAGCTTTCAATCTTATTCATAGAACCAAATGTAAAAATTACTTTGTAAAGAACAATAACTTGTATCATGAATTGAGTTTGTCCTTCAAGTGTCTATTTTGGTTTTGAGCAATCTCCTGAAGCTTAAAACTCAATGGGTTTAAGATCAAATTAGAGAGAAATATTGGTGTTGTCTCCGTGTAAAATCAATAGTATTTTCCATTAATACGTTTGGATCT